CAGTTTGACAAGACCAAACATGGTCATCACGAGAAACAAGTCCTCCTCTCCGGCCAATGCGCAGAGCAGGGCCAGAGCCATGATCTGCATGCATTCATCATACCGCTCATAGCGGATTCTACCTCGTTCAAGGCGCGCCATTCCCCGGTTCGTAGGGTTTACGGGGTGGAGGCTCCGAGGCTCAGCCGTTAGGTTTTCGGTCTTGCGCTGAGTGTTTTTTTAAAATCGAGATTTCGCCGCTGCTGAGCTCCGAAAGGTAACAAGCGGCGAAATAAGTTCGTGTCAAAATATCAACCGTCACTTTTTTTTGACCCGAGCTGCCTTGCGTCAAAATTCTCGGGTCAAAAAAAGGTGGGAACCCTAAAGTATGTGGATGGGTAAAAAAATCAGAGGCATATGGAGCCGGGTGGGGAAACATGTAGTCCTCGGCTCGGATCATCAACAATCCAAGGGCGGAGAGGGCGGGACGGCCATCAGCACACACACCCAGGGAGCTGTGAGGGGTGGCTATCGTACGCGCTTGAGGCGGGCGCGGTCATGGGGATGATTGTGAGCTGGATGGAGCTTGCTTGCCGCGGGTGTGGGAGTGGGGAAAATGTGAGTGGCCTCTACATAGCAGGATGTTATTTTTTTTTTTCATCAACGACCCGGGCAAAAGACGGTAATTACCGTCTTAATGCGGCATGCTACAAGTACTCAACACTGGTATATATGTTTTTTTATCTTGATCAGCAACTCTAATACTATTGTGTGACACTTATGGTTTGTTGGTGACGCAATGTCATGGTGCATCATCCGGCTGCGCGCTGTGAGTGGCAGAAAAAATATCACCATTAATCTTCGATTGATTGTAGTGGACGACATTGGTCTAGACCGTAGTCTAAAGGAAACCTCGTGCTCGTTGTTGTCTTAGAAGGTAGTACCGACAACCGTACTGGTCCCACAGACGCAAGCGCCTTGCGTGGTCATAGGCCAACTACTAGTCTACCCAAAAAGATGTTAAAAGAATGTCTTAGGAAATCATCAACAACGCGATACTGTGAACGTGTATAGTCTATATAGTTTATGGATGTCACAAGAAACAAACCGACCGGGAGACAGCTCGGACAAAGTATTCATGTCGTCTTGGCTTGACCATCACATAGTCTCCGCATCGCGTACACAGAGAAAGAGCGCCGATGTTCCCGAGAGAGCAACGGGGTTGCGTAACAAAGACGCCGGAGGTAGGGCATTTTCTCGCCATCTCTCTCTTCTCTCGGTCGTGCGACGCCGAACACCCTCATGAAGTTTGTTTCGTTCACTGCTCACAAGGAGGCAACACAGCAGTAGTATCCCATCCGAGTGGATCATTGATCGTCGACCACCGTGAACCACTCCACCACCCGTCCTCCGGCGGTGTGTCACATGTAGTCGGGGCTTACTTGCCACTAAGATTGGGGCATGGCAGCCTTCGGGCTCGCGCTAGTGTTGATGGGGAAAACGTTGACCGTACTGTGCTCGATCAACACGAGCCTGGTGTCGATGGTGAAATATTGATCGTACTTAGACTACAGTAGCAACTGGTGTGGAAGCACAACCCACCTTACCATTTTTTTTTTTTTTGCCTTCCCACAATTGCAGATGTACCTCAGAAAACTTTCACTTAATGTCTCATACTCTACATGAATATTAAATCAATACGAAGTACAACAACATATGTAGGACTTATTTCTACTGTCACTTACATCGTGAAAATATCTCCTCTTCAATTTGAAATAAAACCAATGACAATATTTGTATTATTTTGTTTGCCCTCCGACAATTGCAGATAAATGCAGACATACATAAAAAGTCGATCGTAAAGGCCGTCATGCCAAGCCAAATTAACTCGATGCCCAATAGCTAGGAATGTTTGCCTCTAAGTCAACAAAACTTTTGTCGAAACACTACAGCTGAACTCTAGGCACAAACCTTAGATGGAGAAAAACGAACAAAACCCCAACCTCATCCACCCGAAATCAAACAAAACTCGGCCCCGTCTTCCCTGGTACCCCTGACACCGTATTGGACAGAAATCCGCTTTCCACCGAAGTGGTTAGGTTAAAGCTGTCGCACGCCATCCTCATGGTATCCTACATGCGTTCGTAAGCTTGCTAAAATACTACTGCGTTGATGTCCTCTTGTAAAAGCTGAAATCCAACAAATGCTTTGATCCATGCTACATCTCCGTGTTGGAAAAGCCCTTTCTTCTCCGTTCATGATAACATCTTACCCTATTCTACGCAAATCTGTCACATCTACTCTCAAACAAGACGCCAACTTCAAACGAAAACGCGTTCTACGATGCGTCTACACTCCATCCCCATATCATTGGCGTTGACTGGTCCGAGGTCGATCTTGTTCGCCTGTTTTCGGCGTCTTGACGCCCGCGCAATGCGAGCTTGTACCTCTGCACTCGCCGAGATATGGCCACCTGTGTAGCCACCGAAATGATCTGAAGAAGTCATTCCTTGAAGACTCCTTTCAGAACCATCGTTCCTCTGTCCCTTCCTCCCACGGCATGTGTCGCAAGTTCATTGATGAACTCGTAACCCTCCTCTCCAAGGCGGCCAAAGCTTTTCACGGCTAAGGTGGTTAAGTTTAAAGCTGCGTTCGTCAAAGGACACGTGTCCCGGACGAGCGTAGTGCTGACGCTTT